TTTTTCACAACAGCCTTTTTTATGATGATGAACTTTCCATTGATCCCAAACTGTTGAGAGTTTAAATCGAGAAACAGTGTTGAACTGTTTGATGAATGCTTTTTCTGCATCAATTGAGATGATCATGTGATTTTTATCTTTCAGTCTCGTTAATGTATCACATTCATTAATCAGTATATGTTAAATCAGGGTCCATTTCAGTGATAATTTCTCTTGATCATGATGTATAGTATTGTGATGTGTTGTTGAATTTGGTTTGACTTAAATATTTTTATTGTGTATTTTTTCATCAATATTTTCAGTCAATATTGGCCTGTAGTTTTCTTCTTATGACGGTATCTGTCTGGCTTAGGTAGAATCAGGGTGATCCTGGACTCCATAAAATGTGTTAGGACCAGTATTCCCTCTGGGTCTGTTTTGGAGAATTTGTAGGAAGGAGGGTATTAATTGTTGTCATGTTGGAATGTTTGACTGGAATTGTAGTGCGCAAACCATTGATTCTGGGGCTTCGTTGTTGTTGTACTTGTTATGAAATTTTAATTGGGGTCTTTTATTTGTTCATTGGTCTGTGTAGGCTTTTTTATTTCTTCCCTGATTCAATGTGCTTGGTAGGTACAATTTTTCTTGGGAATTTGTCTTCTCTCGCGCCCCTAGGTTCATCCGACCATTTGTTGGCATAAAATTGTTCTCTCATATAGGTCGTTAGTTGGTCCCCTTTTTATTTGCCTGAGCATCTGTTGCTCTGTCGCTTCACGTATTTCTGGCTTCTATTTATTTGAGGCTTCGTCTCTCTTTTTTTTAGTTTACCCAGGGTCTGTCGTTTGTATTGTTCTATATAACACTCCAATATATAAAGATCTATATTATGTCGGCTCTAAGCAATGCCCACACTGGGCTTAGGCCATAGAGCTCTGTCGGCTCTAAGCAATGCCCACACTGGGCTTAGGCCATAGAGCTCTGTTGGCTCTAAGCAATGCCCACACTGGGCTCAGGCCATAGAGCTCTGTCGGCTCTAAGCAATGCCCACTCGTGAGGTGGGGCTCATCAGCTGCAGAGACCTCCCTGTCCAGGTTTGGAGGATTCCAAGAGTCAGAGTGCAACTGAACTTTTTCTTTTTGCAATTTGCGCCTGTGGGTCCTAGTGCCACCTCTGGAGTTAGCACTTCTTTCCTATGCCAGTTCTCCCACGGTCTGCTGGCAGCGTGCTGGAAGTGGCTGGTGCTGTGGGACAGCTGTGGGCAGAGGACCAGGGGAGCCACTCGTCCTGGTGCACTGGGAGATGGAGGTGACAGCCTGAGCTCTATGGGTTCCCTTAGCAGCTGACACATTCTGGTCTCAACCCAACAAGGATGAAAGATCCACCTTTGGGGAAAGGTGATGGAATCATAGAAATGATGTTCCAGGAATCCAGTTTCTTCATATTTGAGAAAACGACTTACATGTGCAAAAATATCTATGCTAGAAACAATACAGCTTTATACAATATAGCACTCTGATTTGAAGAACCTTGCCCTGCATTCTCTTGTGTGAACCTGCCCACAGCCTTGTGACACGAGCCAGGCAGCACTCCTGCATTTAGAACTTGGCAGAGATAAAAATGAGGCTTCACACCTAATGCTTTCCTTCAGTACTGGATTCAGCCCCTTAACTTATTTTCTTTGGCCAAAACACCACTGTATTTTCAGCCTCCCAGGTACGGGGACTAATTTAAGGCTGCCTGCCCAGTAGACAGTTTAGTGTGGGGTAAATAGCACCATTCTAGTTTCACGGCTTCCCTGAGCCCCTCCTGCTGTGCCCACCGCTGGCCGCCTGTCGTTCCAGCCTCGCCCTGTTTCCTTCCGTCCCCTCTTTGGCACTTGTTCTCTTGGTCCTCATCCTTCCAGGAGGGCATGTCCTGGGTCCCTGTGTCTAGAATCTGCTTCCCTTTCCTGCACTGCCCTTTCTCCCGGCTCTGCTTTTCCGTTGCCCTCCGCCTCCTACCAGCTTGCTCCTTGCCTTGCACACAGACATTGACAGGTCCAGCGAAGAGCGCCTTTGCTGCAGCCCAGTGCGTCCAGGTCTTCCCACGCCTGTGCCGCTGAGTGCTGCTGAGGCAGGGACTCCCGTCTCCCCAGGAGCTCCTGGAGGAGGCTCAGAATCCATCCTAAGGAGTTTGATGACATGTGTGCCAGATGGTGTAGAGGTGTCCAGGTATACCACACCATGTGGACCATAACAGACACGCGGGATGGATGGACGTGTCCCCCGTTGGAAGTGTCCAGAGAGTACCGAGGGCAGGCTCTCCATCCTCGCTGGGAGCATAGCCAGTGCCACACACAGAGGCCAGGTCTCAGCTTAGCCTGGGAGTGCCCGGTTCTTTTTACTTCTCTATCTGCATCCCTTTCTGAGTGTAACAGTTCCTCTCCTTCCTTCTTCACCTCTTCCAATCTGTCCCAAACACCAGCTTCCCCAAGGATTCACGTCCTAAATCCTTACCACATGGGACAAGCATCAACTCGGACACTAATCAAGCAGAATCGGTACCAAGCAGGACCCCAGAGGTCCCTCCAGGACCTCGGGGAGTAGGGCTGGGCCGGGGTGTCTTGAGGAAAGCCAGGGTGACCTGAGGCCTGGGGAAATCTCAGTCTTGTAAAAAAGCGACTTGGCCATAGCTGTGGTTACCACGCAGGTCTCTTACCAGCGCTCTCATCGTGCCTCCCTGCTCTCCTCCTTCCCTGAGTCTGCAGGAGGGACTTTCAAGGCACCTTTGCCCATTTCCCATCCACTCGGCCTCAGGACCGTCCCTAGCGGCTACCAGAGGGCACCCCTCTCCCGCAGCTCCGCATCCCCGCACATTCCAAGTCCAGCCAAGCCCTGGGCTCCGAAGACCCTTCTGCTTTCTAACCTAACAAAGAGGGGCGTGGAGAGGGGGTCTCAGAGTTGCAGAATGGGCAAAAACTCAAAAAGGGAATGGATTTCGCCGTGAGGTCCAGGTTGCTGGGGCTTCCCTGTTGTTCTGTTTATTTTACCTGAACTCTGCTATACCATCTATTCGAGAAAATATTCTCAAATATTGAATCATGTATGACTTTATTTTTTCTTTTAAAGGATTTGATATGTTCATGCGTTAATTTGGGCAGAGATACCTCCATTTCCAATCTCTCTCCTTCTGTCAATAACAGCTGTAGTTACCATGAGAACTTTTGGGCTTTTCTTAAACAGTCCATTCTCCTGTTCAATCTTTTTGGTAATCAAAATATCCTCCAAAGGGCATTCTTTTAAAATCCCATAATATCCTTCATCATGTTTGTTGTCACCACAGAAATAGTAAACACATAAACAACCCTCCAAAGGCACAAGATTGATCAAAAATGAGA